CGTGCCTAGATTAGGATCATTGTCAAAGATGCGTAATCTGGAGTCATTCACTTTCGTTGCATTTCATGACCTTCCACGCACTGCACATGATTTGACACTGGGTCAAGTCGACACGCGTGAATATGGTGCCATCTGGTGTGGCCTTGAAGTCTCACTTTCCACTTGATTTTCTCTCCTGCTTTCAGGGAATTGTTTCGCCTTCTTGTTGGTGTTCCTGCATCGCCACCGATACTTATACTGTTGTGGACGCCAGGTGGCTAAACAAAATAACGAATGCGTTAAACAATCAAAATGAGCCAAAAGAGCCAAATGAGAAAAAAACGCAAGGTGGCATAATCGCGAGCCGATACGCTTTACCACACAGCAGAGCACATTACTGCAAAACACAATGCAAAACAACGCATAAACTGCATCCTAGGTGACGATGTTGGAACCTCTCTCACCTACGAGCCATACTTGAAAATCCATTGGGCTCGGACTAGGTTGCTTGACCTTCAAAGCCCTCTCCACTCATGTCTAAAAGCCTTTCTCAAAACTCACGTGGGATTTGATAGTTACTTCTGTCATACAGATGACATTTGTCCAAGGCTCTCAATGAGAGTATGAGTCAAACCGGCAAATAGATTCCCCTTTAATACATTAAGTACATTGGATATTTCACATTTGCACTTAATTAGTGTCGGTAAAGTGCTGGTATTAGACTCATCTCACTGCGCATCAGAGGTTTTAAAAAAGACCTAATGTAGATAGTTCACTATCATACGCAACCGCACAATGTGTTAATGAGGGCAGTCAACCGCAAAGGTGTCCAGAGGGAAACTGCATTTGTGTCCTCTATGTGCTGCTAATGATTAGCTGCCACTGTGAAATTCACATGTGGACACAAGCGGAAGTCATCGTCGCGATAGATGGAGGGAGTTGGAAGCACGCCTTCGGTGAGGCACACCACATCATAGCCTTCACGATGATGATGTCAGCAGGCTGAATCGGGGTCGCAGAACTTCACCGGGTTAGGGTACGTCGCGTTATCGCCCTAATCTAAAATGAACATACGATCGGCCTCTTTCCTAACTTTGTGGGTGAGTTTCGAGGCTTTTACCATATTGCGAAGGGGACAAATCCAAGTAGCACATTGGTCGGCGATTCTTAAGCAGCGCATCTGCTTTGCCTCCACTTTAATATATAATCTTGCTGAAGCCTCAGTTGATAAAATGCCCAATTCTAACATCACTTCCTTTTTCATTTATCAATTGTGTGGTTGTCCGATGAGAAGATGCACTTTGTTGAGTAGATTCGTTTGCTTGATTTACTTCATTACGTTCGTGTACAGTTTGCTCATGTAGTCGACGGAGTGGGTGCAGCC